TGCTTTATTCCAGTCAATTAGTCCTCTAAACAGAGCTAATGCCATTTTAATTATTAGTTAATGTCCTGGATCACATTCTTACACCTTATCTCAACTGTATCTTTCACTTCTGCTTTGAAGAACCACATATTTACTCTTTTTTTTGTGAATCCTGTTAGGGTAAGGAGTCAGGGTCACAAGAGTTGGAAGAGGTTGTCATAGAAAGCATTCAAGTGCCAAATAAGATAAAAAAGAACAGAACCAAGTCCTCACAGCACATTTAGTAGGGCAATGACCTTATCCCAAAAGGGTTACTGGGCCTATGATACAAGGTGGCCAGTACAAATTACTTGAATCCCTTGTTGTTTGTCCATTAAAAAGGCTATTTCAAAACTTTTACCTTTGTTTAAAAAATCTTTGGAGTCTGTCTACAGAAAAGCACTGCAAAAAAGGGAACTATGATTATTTCCTACTACAACTACTATTTAACAATCTCTTCATTTACAACACTTTTTGGGGTCTTCTCTGTTTGTTGATACTAACCGAGTCTACTGCCCAGGTGATTGTTTTCAACTGAATGAAAGCAAAGTTTCACCAAATTTCTGCAGGTAAGAGTCACGACAGTTCAGATGCCAGAAAAAGGACAATGGCTAACAGATCTGTGTGCACGACTTGGACAGAAGTAATAAATGGCTGAGAAACTTCTAATACATTTGCAGTTTGTACAGATGACTGTGATAACCTCTTATTATGCCATATGGAGACCCCGACTAACAGCCAGGAGCCTTAAATTACATGGAAATTGATTCCTACACTGCAGCTTTCAGCTGTAAATGATGTCAAAAGACTATGGGCTTAAAATGAAAATTAATGGAAATATATAAAAGCAAATGAGCTCTAATAAGTCCTTATTAATATGAGGTAATAATGTGCATCATCACTGAAGCCCTATGCCAGTTATTGCCGGGTATCAGCTACATAGCCTTTTTTCAATGAATATAGACATCAGGTTGTGTACAGAATTCTCCCTTTCAATCCACACACATTACATAACGATATTAAATTACAGTACATAATTGGTTAAACATTACTCTCTAAATTTTTCTTGAATCTTGTAGCCGATCTTAAATACTGCATGTACTCTATTAAATACAAGCTCACCCAGGAGACATAAACTGACTGAAGCCAGGAAATTCTAAATGAAGGCTCAAGCTGACATTTTGTCCCTAACATATAACTATGTTTCCTCATGGCTACTAAGAGTGCACGTCCTAATGGTGTTTCTTTCTTTATTTGTACAAATAATATTATTGCAGCAGTCAGAGCCTTCATTTAAGAAAGCAGGATACATAAACTAACTTGAAACTTGGCCCGTGATGGAAAGACATAGGTATAGAGTCTCTCCTTTTTGTGCTCCTTTTTTCACTACTTTTGGATCCGATGAAAAGAAAAAGTCAAGAAAAGGTAAGCATTTAATTAAATTCCCAGACTACTTCCAATTTGTGATTTAATAAATTCAGCCAGCTTGCAATGGTGTTATTTTAACCACACCTTTTGAACTGCTATTGTCAAAATAAATCTGAAAACAATGAAGCCATAGTAAACAAAAACACAAAATAAAAATTCAACAGTCATAAAGGAAGAGAAAGAAACCCTGCAAATAATGTATAGCCTTGTACCCCAGAGACAGCAGAAAAAAGAATTCTTATCATCCATCATGTTGATGGATTAAACTGTTAACATCACTGCCTTTTTACAGTCAATTGTATTTTCTGTGTGTGTTTCCTAAGAGTACGCATTTCTGGGTCTGACTCAGCGATAACAACAGAACATCAAAGAGAGGTAGACTCTGGACAGATACAATGTCAACATTTCTGTAACTCAAAAAATACTTCAGTAGTCCTCAGAAGCAGGACTTATTGACAATAAGTCATGAAAAGTGATTAGCCACTATTTAATAACAGGAACTAATAAAGATAAATAAACCAAACTAGGTTTCATCACATTTCACTCTACCACCAAGTGCCTGCACAACTTTGGGCAAATCACAATCTTAGGGCTTGATTTTGTCCATCTGTTAAATGGTATAGTCTTATCTATAGCTCAGAAGCAGGACTTATTGACAATAAGTCATGAAAAGTGATTAGCCACTATTTAATAACAGGAACTAATAAAGATAAATAAACCAAACTAGGTTTCATCACATTTCACTCTACCACCAAGTGCCTGCACAACTTTGGGCAAATCACAATCTTAGGGCTTGATTTTGTCCATCTGTTAAATGGTATAGTCTTATCTATAGCATATGGCTAGATTGGTAGAAGAACCCTCTGTTAGTCTGCAGACAGATACAAGCCAATGAAGATAAAACAAAACTTCAAGTTATAGTTCAAAAGCCTTTATCCATAGCTGTTTTCAGCAACAAAATTATGCTAAAACTTTGATACAAAGTCATAATATGTTACAGCAGGTGATTGATCCCGGGGGCTTCCATAAGACAGTTTTTGAGTAATTGGGGTATTCAGAACAAGATGAGACATCATCTGCATTGATGAGTCCTGAGCAGACCCGCTAACCCACAAAGTGGAGTTAAAGTGCAGGGCATTCATCGCTGTTATGTGTGGCTTGAATATGAGCTAGCTGAAATCTGGAAGAAGCATGTCTGTATTTCTGTGGGGCTGTACTTGTAAGTAAATTCCTTCAAGACCATGGTAGGAAGCTCACTGTGCTTAGACTTCATAGCTTCAACTTCTGCCAGTGTGGGATCTCTGCACCATATTGCACTTACCAATGGTGTATCCACAAAACAGTTGTTTAAAGCCACCAGAGGTTTTTAAGTAATCGGAGAGGTTACTACATACAATTAGCACCTTACAGCCAAATTCAAAGTCTGAGCTACTTTTGAAGCATGGGAGATGATCAATTTTGTTAGTCGTCTTTTTTTTCTGTAATATAAAGTTACATAATTTGGTCCTTTGTTTGAAGGTTCATTCAATTATCTAAACAAAAGTACTCCTAGCACTGTAAATCCATTTGCACACATTTCTCTCTCTTCAACCTGTGCTTTAAGTCTCAACAGATTCAGTTAAAACTAGGAAAATGGAAAAAGACTATCTTTCTCAATAGGAAAAAATTCTTCCTGGTAATGAGATTATTATGGCTCACCAATTGCCATCATCACACATATTGGCTGCTCCCCCACTCCAAGTATCCCAGTCAAATCACGGTGCCGCTAACAGAATAATACACCTCTCAAAATGCCTTGGGCTAGGAACACATTGCTGGTTCATTTCAGGTAATGTAAATAAAGCCCTTCCATTTGTTTTGTAAAATGTCAGCTCAAACTTGGCTGATCCCTTTTCAGATTCAGTCTTAAGCTTTTTATGAAAGACAGCAACAAACAATTCTGCAAACCTGAAAAGGCATTTTTGGCAAGCAGAGTATTTGAAAAACAATAATCTTCTCTCCCCTTTTTACTAGCAAAACAAGTCACATTACATTTGACTAAATCTGTTGTTAAAAACTGTTATTTGAAAATTCAAGATGCTTTTTTTCAACTTTTCATTCTAATTTTTCATTTTGAAATGTAGCTATATTTCATTTGAGAGGGAGAGAAAAACAGCCAAGAATAAGCCATCATCACACATATTGGCTGCTCCCCCACTCCAAGTATCCCAGTCAAATCACGGTGCCGCTAACAGAATAATACACCTCTCAAAATGCCTTGGGCTAGGAACACATTGCTGGTTCATTTCAGGTAATGTAAATAAAGCCCTTCCATTTGTTTTGTAAAATGTCAGCTCAAACTTGGCTGATCCCTTTTCAGATTCAGTCTTAAGCTTTTTATGAAAGACAGCAACAAACAATTCTGCAAACCTGAAAAGGCATTTTTGGCAAGCAGAGTATTTGAAAAACAATAATCTTCTCTCCCCTTTTTACTAGCAAAACAAGTCACATTACATTTGACTAAATCTGTTGTTAAAAACTGTTATTTGAAAATTCAAGATGCTTTTTTTCAACTTTTCATTCTAATTTTTCATTTTGAAATGTAGCTATATTTCATTTAAGAGGGAGAAAAAAACAGCCAAGAATAAAAAGCTTTAGACTGAATCACTGAGGGTTTTTTCCTGATTTGATAATCACCACCACCACCCAAAAAAACTTTCCCATCCAGCCATGAAATCAAAAATATCAAGTATTCACAAGTAGTGGGCTTACTTCTCTGTCCTACTCCCATTCTCAACAATTTTGTGTGACAAAGGCATTTGAAAAAGAACTGAGAAACAAATGCAAACCCCCTTAACTGCTGGAATCAATAAAATGCTCTGAAGTCTTTAAAGAAATGAATTACCCATTGCTTGGATATTTTAAACTAAAATGATCATGACAACAATTAATGTGCAAGAAAGATCAGACCTACAGTGGAAAGGATTTGGAAAACAGACACAGAGCTCTTGATCGCATTTAACTTTTATGATGCCCTACTGCTCCACATAGCAGAGCTTCAGTAAATGTTCACAAGCATTTACTAGGATATGCACATTTCTTTCTCACTCTTTCACTCAGCTCCTTCTATCACACTACCAGTCCAATTCATCTCCGAATTTTTTGGAGATATTTTGGTTTTTTCTCCTGAACAGCTTTATTGAACAAAGGCACGATAAGTATGCATCCCTTCCTGATATTTATTCCCTTTCATCCATTTCAACAAGGTCCAACAAAATAACCCTTTATATTTGCTCTAAATCTGGAAAAATGGTTGAACAGACTCTTGTTGTTTTTGGCTGAAGACATCATTAGCTGCTAGATGCCTTTTTCCTGCTAAAGGAAAGAGTTTCCCAAATGGATCAAGGTAGAAGGTTTATCCAAGATTAAAAGCCTAAATTTGAAAACATAGCTTTGTGTTGTCCACAGACAGACTAAGTTCCGAAAGACCCAAAAAAGGCAGAGCTGCTTAGGACTGTTACAAAAAACACTTTAAGTATCCTATGAAATCACTGTAGAGAGACCAGAATTATTTAAAAAGGATTATTTATTAAACATATTTCTTTACAAAGTACAATCAATGGTTTGCATTAAATTTTGGGTTTTGGTATTTGCCTGTATGTACACAAAAGCTTATAACAGAAAATGTGTCTTGATTTTACACACGGGACACAATACTGAGTTACCTTCATATTTTGATTTCTACCAGCATAAGCAGTTGATAATAACTTTCAGCTTATCCGCTGGTTTTTTTTTAAACTGAAGATGAAGCGACAACATTTCTGCAGAGTGTCAGTATTTATCAATGTACTCAATTATGACAAAGTAGAAATGAATAATCCTTTGGCAAGTTTCCACCAAGCATGAGTGGAACATGACATTTTTTGGCAGGTTACTGGACTATCCTTATGATCCTAAAAATCATTTTTTGCAGTTCTAAGATAAGAAGAATTGAGGAGCTAGGTAAGTTTAATAATACCCTATTAGCAGCAGTTGATAGTAAATGCAACATAAGGTTTGTTTTGTCTGTCATACAAGGACGTGTCCTAGCAGACACTATTGTATTGTTCTCTACTTGAACAAAAGTATCTGCATGTATTGTATGCCTTTGGAAAAACAAAACAAAAATAAAGAGACAAAAAGCCATTTATTGTCATGAGTGACTATTGCCATCAGCTAATATGAATGCATTGCTAAAATTAGTGAAGACAGGAAAATGCTGTAAGGTAAATATATACAGAGTTAAAATACATTTCTTATCCACTAGATAGTGATTTTGTGGCACTGTGGTTTTCAGAATATAACGTCTGTTGAGAGCAATGTAATTTTCAGTGCAAGCTAAAGCAAAAATACCTGCCCGCTGTCATAAACATGACAAACAAATCTGGAATGTTCAAAGTAAGTTCGTCTTCCACTTCTCCACTCTTGAGGCACCTTTAAGACATGGCACTTACTGTAAACCATCTAAAAATCAAGAAAAGCAGACACAATAAGCCTGAATTTTCCTTAACAACTTTAAAAATCACTGCCAGAGTCACTTGCATACGTAAACGATGCCTGTGTAAGGCTTGCCAGCAAAGCATCTTTCCTGAGAACGGAGCTGGGACACTCTCTGTGTATCATAAGTGTGCGTGCTCGGAGCTGTGATCACTGTCGTGGCTGTCGTCGTTCGCTAGTGAGTCCCCCGTGTGCTGGAGACCAGCTGCGCCAATGCCAGAGAGCTCGGAGGGGAGCAACGTGCCCTTTTTCACATTCACCAGTTCCTTCTCCCGGGCTGCTGCCCCTTGCTGGCCCCCTTTTACCCGCTTCCACTTCATTCGTCTGTTCTGGAACCAAACTTTTACCTTTGCGGAAGAAAAGACAAAACGAGAAAATAAAGATGGGGTCGTTGAAGATAATAATGATCTTTCTAGCTGTAGCACAGAGCTTGAGTTTTTCCTTTTTTTTAATGTGCAACACGCTGCCTTTCTGTCTATATGGTAAAAAGCTTAGCAAGCCTTCCCTGAGGAGCAGGTGATCCAGTTTTGGGTAGGACATGAACCCTGGGATGTGAGGATAAATGACTGCAAAGGCGGGAAAGGGGTTACCGCAAGAAGGCAGACAGGCTATCTGCAGCAGATAGCTCCACAGGAAGATTTCAGAGTCCTTTAGAAAACATTAAAAACATTTGAAAAACATTAAAAAGTTAACATACGCTTGAAAAACATATTAATGCCATTTCACGGGCAGAGAAACGGGCAAAATGAAATGCACTGAAAAGTTTGCATTTCTTTCTGCCTGTTTGTTTCTGTAAACTGGTGGTAAGTTTCAGGTGGAGCATTTTAAAAGTTTTTTTTTTTTTTTTTTTTTACTTGCTGAAGTATCTGAAAGAGCATTTCTTACAGTCAAAACTTACTACTTCCCTGTCTATTTCACAAATGTATTTAAATGATACTAGTTGACTGATCCTCTATTCTACTACATTTAGCCATAGACCCTGGTCAAATTTTTCAGACAAATAAATACCCCCAAAGCCAGAGGGCAAGACATTTATGAATTTGAGTCAAAATCAGCAAATAATTTCAGATGAAAGTGGAAAAGAAATTCATAGAATGAAAGATTAAAAATGTATCTGTATTTAAGTCACATTAAACCCCAAGATTTCACTCCAGCTGAAACTCATTTCCCCTCCTCCCCTTCTCTGTATAGACTGTATTTAACACATTAAACCCCAAGATTTCACTCCAGCTGAAACTCATTTCCCCTCCTCCCCTTCTCTGTGTAGAAATATGGGGGGGGGGGAAGTAAACCTAAATTATTTGCACAGTTCTAAAGTACCAGCACTGCAAACCACAAGGACTTTTTTTCAATAGCCAAAAGAAAAGAAAAAAAAAAGATGTTCATAGCATCTGTTTAATATATTAGACCAGATTAAAGGCTGATTTCAAATCAACTTAAAATATTGTCACTGAAAACAGTAAGAATAGAAGACTGTTGGGTTTGATCCATTTAGAGTTAATGTTGCTAAAAAAATCTTGTGCGTGTGTGTCTGTGCAGCTCTTCACATGAAGGTTCCACAGAAAAATAAACAATGTCTGCAACTTTTCACTTGGAAAGAAAGCAAGAAAGCTTGCAATGTCGGTGTATCCTCTGCTGTGTTTAGCAGAATGTGTTTCAGAGTTTTAAAAGAAACAGCAAGGAACAGGCACAGCAGGACGTATTGTACAACATGAGTAACAGAGCCACAAAAATGCTGTTTTGCTGAATCTGTCTTATACATCCAGGAAACATTGCAGTGTTTAACCTTTACTATCACTTTGAATTTTATATTAAAATTTTACTACAATTGAACTGATAGTTAACGTCACTATCTCTATGTATGTATGCGGGAAGGAAGAGAGGTATATTTATTTTTTTATACTCTATATTCCTGTTAAAGCCAGTGTGAGCTGTTAAAGCCAATCACTTGGGAACAGAGCAAAATGATTCCAGGTTAGTTAAGAGCCTCAAAGCACAGCATTTCCTTTCCTTTAGTCAACTCATCAGAGCCAAAGAATCTGGCTTGTAAAGTGAAATAAGTGTAAAGGGAAAGGTATTTATTACTGGCTGCTGTGATGTTGGGAATTATCATACTCGGGTCACGTATCAGAGGTGTCCATGGAAACAGTTGTCTTCAAAAGGGTACAGCATTAGTACAGCATTGGCAGCTTTCTGGGGGAAGTTAAGATGTCATTTCATTTGTTTTTGTTTTTTAAGATAATGAAGTTTCTCTTGTAAAAGCCAGTACTAAACTGGTGCCAGACAGTGCAGTAGATGCAACTGCAGTCATAATCTAAACATCAAAAATGATAGACTTTGGATTCAACCCAGTACCACAGAATATTACCACTTTTCTTCTGAAATAAGGGACCAGAGAATTTCATTCGATAAGTAGAAATGACAGGCTTGGAGTGATGTTTAAAAGATCTAAGCAATTCTCTGAATGTCTTTACGTCCTTGAAAATAATGTATACAAAAAGTGGTTTCAAGAAAAATAACAGCGATGCATTTGAAGCAAAAATTTCGATGCACGACCTGGATTCAACCCACTTTAACTTACTGGAACAGGAGAGATCCAGGCAAACCACCTTCCAGAGGCATCCATTTCATTTTTGGATACTTGAGAAACTGAAGCTAATACCCTACAGTCATTGTCAGAAACTGTTCTGGCTGGGACAGATGTGAGCAGGATGATTGCTGCCTGGCTCCTGATGCAGGTGCTCATTTCTGTTCTCCTCTCACAGACAGAGCTAAACTCTCACATCTGCTCGCTTGACTTTTTTGACTCCAATTTAATAAATTATTCTTTTTTGTTTTCCATTTTTTCTTACAATATTTTGTTGCTGCTGCTTTTTATAATTCAGGTCACTTCACAAATCCACAGTCGAGAGCAGTCTCTCTCTTTGAGCATTAAACCCAGGAGAACTAAGTGGCACCAGCTTCCAGGTAATGAGTAGCCGAGGACAGGCTGGGGACTACCTCTTCATTCAGATCATCTCCCCTCAGACTAGCTCATCCGACCATGCCCTGAAATGCCTCCACCAGGGATGAGTCTAGGTCAGCGTCTGTATATTAATTGATACAAAACAATTAAAGGACGATGATTTCCCTTTTCAAGAATAAATGCAAGATACATTTATAAATTCCTCAGAGGATCCAGCGTGCAACGCTATGTCTGCACATGAACCACTGTCTGGGAAACATGACATTTAAGGAAAGTAGGGCTAAAAGGACTCCAGCTACCTTTGCATGCACTCTCATAAGTGTAGGGGAAAGAGAGTAACCCTGGCACTCCCATAGGAGAATATATACTACTGACTGGCACATAGCCTGTCAGGCTTCCCATAAAGAGAAAATAGTAACAATTTAAAAGAGAAAAAAGAAAAAAGCTTTAGGCTGTTTTATTAATGACTTCAAATAATCTGCATGTGATTTACTTAGAGAATATCAAGTAAGGAATTTCTTTATCTGGTATATGAAAGATTATTTTCAAAGGCTAGAAATCAATTATAGGGAAGTTTATTATTGAAAATATTATGCATTTATTTTGATATCATTTGGTGCATTAATGTACAGAGGGACTCTTATATGAGGGAAGACGTTAGGTATTTTTTATATCTATTTCTTTATGTCCTCCCTCATAAAGTACTGAAATCCACTTTTGACCCGATCCAAACTACACTAATGTCAGTGTGAGTTTTTCCATCGAGTTCAATGGACTCTAGATGAAGTCTTTAATGCTAATGTGCTAATAATATGAGACAGGTCCTTCACTTGTTATTTCCTCTAGAGATCAAATTCAGATACTGGAATTCTGAACTTCCTTTGGAGCTGAAGAGTCAATTATGGAGGGTATAGTTGTTACCGATATGTGATCCATCTATATTTTAGTAATGGGAAGGAAGTGAAGCAAACTTTGTGTGAAGTACTTCAGAGTGTCAGTGTATCTGGATTCATGGAAAACTGTGCTTTTCAAATGTACAACTCATTTGAAACTTACAGGTGTTGCACAAAACATGCATCAGAACAAAACACCCTGAGAAACAAAAAGGAGAGAGGAGAAAGAAAGAGGAGAGAGAACAAAAGAGAGAGAGAGAGGAAGAGAGAGAAAGAGCAAGAGTGAGAGGAAGGAGAGAATGACTGAAAGGAAAATAGAGAAAAAATTAAAATAAAAATAAAGGAGAGAGAAAAAGCCCGTACCGAAGTGAACTTGAAAAACTCTTGACCTTTTTTCCAGTGAAAGAACTAGCTTGTGCCATTTACAACTTTTGCAAAAACTGTATCCTTTTAAAGTAGTTTAAAGATCTACTGTGACAAGCTTGATACCGTACGTTTTATGAACCTTTTTATGCTGTTTTTCAAGTCTAAGTTAGCTCCAGCAGGAGCTGAGAGTGCTCACCACCTCCCAAAATCAGGTCCTGATTGCCTATTATTTATTAAAATGCACTCCCTCTTCTCCACCCTCTGACTAGCACAATTTAACTGTATAGAGCAAGCATATGTACAGAAAACAAAGGAAGTGGAGGGAAATGAACTATATTAAAGATGATGGTACCATTAACAGCTGTTTCTAAATCAGCACTTATGAGCCAGTCTATTGAGCACATCTGCTTACTGGCACGAAAGCACAGTTTCTTTTCCCTTAGTCAACAAGTTGTTTAGCATCTGCATCTCCACATCTGATGATTAGACTGTTACTTAAGATACAAGTAAATGATTTCACATTGCGCATCTCCTGATGTACGAGAGAAATGTTTTTGCTGTGACCAATTTGTTTTAAGGTCTACTCTATAGGAACCACGGGAGGAGATTCAAAACAAGGGGGTTGACATTGTTAGTGTCTACATTACTAAAGTAATCATTATATACTTATGATATATAGGTCCTTAGTAGGCTCAAGGGCCACATTATGTGCTGTCTTGCATGTATATCTTTAATACAGCTTCATGATGTGGACAACGCATCATTTTGGTTCCAAATGAGCATATCACCTGAACTTCTGATTTAATACTCCTTCTTCAATAGAGACCTTCAGTCACATTAACTTTAAGAACAGTTGACTTCCACCATGCTCTGCAGAATGCAGTTTCTTCTTTTTGATATGGGATTTTAGCATTCTGTTCTTACAGAGAAAAACTAAACAAATACTTCTATAATTAATGAGTATTTCTTAATAAAGACATTCTTGTCTGAAAAATGAAAGCATGACTGAATTTGAAGTACCTTAGTTGCACCGTCTGCTGTCTTTCTTCTTTTAAGGAAAAAGACATTTCTCTTTAAAAAAGCTCTTTTCTGAAATGAAAGATTCTTTCCTAAAATTAGGTTT